CACCCCCCTCGCCCAGGCCCCCACCTGTCTTCAGGACCACCAAGTGCGAGGCGTCGTCCCGCACGTAGGACACGGCGGCGATGTCGTGGATGGGCACCCGCAGGATGGTGTCCTCGCCGTCCCGCCAGGCCAGCTTGACGTTGTAGGCCGACAGGCTGATGACCGCGTCGTGCTCCTGCGTCAGGTGTCCGGGCAGCTGGTGGGCTCTCTGGAGGGGACACGGGCGTCAGGTCGCGGAGGCCAGAGGCCTGAGCCCCGCCCGCTGCCCCTGGGGCTGGGTGTTTAGAAAACGCTCATTGTGAACAGCCAGCACCTCACCAAGTGCGAGGCGTCGTCCCGCACGTAGGACACGGCGGCGATGTCGTGGATGGGCACCCGCAGGATGGTGTCCTCGCCGTCCCGCCAGGCCAGCTTGACGTTGTAGGCCGACAGGCTGATGACCGCGTCGTGCTCCTGCGTCAGGTGTCCGGGCAGCTGGTGGGCTCTCTGGAGGGGACACGTGTTTAGAAAACGCTCATTGTGAACAGCCAGCACCTCGAGGGGCAGGTCTGGGGACAAATGCACGTTCAGACCGAGGAGCCAATGCGGTGGCACCGGGTCTGACCGTGAAGGCCCAGCTCAGAGGACCAGGAGCTGCTGCCAGAGCGTAAGGGTCAGAGGTCAGGGTTAGGAGGTGACGCAGGCCGAGGGTCGGAGGTCAGGGTTAGGAGGTGACGCAGGCTGAGGGTCAGAGGTCAGGGTTAGCAGGTGACGCAGGCCGAGGGTCGGAGGTCAGGGTTAGGAGGTGACACAGGCCGAGGGTCGGAGGTCAGGGTTAGGAGGTGACACAGGCTGAGGGTCGGAGGTCAGGGTTAGCAGGTGATGCAGGCTGAGGGTCGGAGGTCAGGGTTAGGAGGTGATGCAGGCTGAGGGTCGGAGGTCAGGGTTAGCAGGTGATGCAGGCTGAGGGTCGGAGGTCAGGGCTAGGAGGTGACGCAGGCCGAGGGTCAGAGGTCAGGGTTAGGAGGTGATGCAGGCTGAGGGTCGGAGGTCAGGGTTAGCAGGTGATGCAGGCTGAGGGTCGGAGGTCAGGGCTAGGAGGTGCCGCAGGCCGAGGGTGGGCGGTGGAAGGAGGGTCACCTTGGCGTTGTCTATGAAGTGCAGGATCTCAGTCCGACTGGACGGGTTCAGGTACCCTGGGATGGACGTTAACTGACCTAAGTACTGAGCGAGACAGGGAGAGGCCGTGAGAGGGTCAGCCAGCGGTGCTGCCCGGCTTCACGCGGTCACAAAGCCGGTCGCCGCACCACGGCCCACACGCAAGCGTCCCCATCTCCCACTCGCACACGCAGGTCGCGGTCCCAACAGGGGACCTGGACGCCGCCCCTGGTCATCGGGCCAAGAGCTCAGAGGTCCCCGTCCTGCCTCACAAGAAAACCCCACAACCAGACAATCAGCACGTCCTCTCGGTTCTGGGGCCACCAGAGAGCAGGGCGCAGAGGTCACAGCCCCCACAGGCCCCCCACCCAAACCCCGCAGGAGGGAGCTGACCACGTGCTGAGCACTGGCCTGGCCGAGGCCGAGACCAACGCTGAGGGGCAGGCGCAACAACAACAACAAATGGACGCGCGGCTTCGCGAGCGTTTAGATGAGCGCATCAGGGGACGCTCCCACGGGAACGGCGCCGCCGGCAGGTCACCCGAGCCTCTGGGAGCAGCAGCCGGGCCTCCCGTTCCTCCTTTACAAACTGGCAGCCGCCCCCGGAACGCAGAACGAGCTCGTCGGCACCTGCACAGGGTCCTGCTGGGACCCGGCGTGTGTCCAGCTGCGTGTCCGCCCTGAGCCCGTCTGTCACCCGCTCCGACCCGTGGTGCCCACAGCACGGCGCCCGCATCGGCACAGGAACCGGCCTTGCTTGGCTACCCGAGTGGGGCACCCAAGTGTTGGCTTTAAGCCAGGGGTCCTCAAACTTTTTAAACAGGGGGCCAGTTCACTGTCCCTCAGACCGTTGGAGGGCCGGACTATAGTTTAAAAAAAAACTATGAACAAATTCCTATGCACACAGCGGCGGCATTATTTTGAAGTAAAAAAACAAAACGGGAACAAATACAATATTTGTATTTGCATATGGCCCGAGGGCCGTAGTTTGAGGACCCCTGGCCAAGACTGTAGCTTCTCTTCATTACTGTATCACCAACAGCTAGTGCTGGGTCACTTGTATAATAAAGTCTCAGTAACATTTTTGGGCGGCAAAAACACCCGGCGGGCCGGATAAATGTTTTCGGCGGGCCGCATGTGGCCCGCGGGCCATAGTTTGAGGACCCCTGCTTTAAGCGATGGAAACGGCGTGTTCTGAGCTCCGGCCCCGGCTCCCTGACCACGGCATCTCCTTCCTTCTCCCGCCTCCTGAGCTGCACTGTTGCTCACCTGCTCCCACCGAGTTGGGGGTCCATCCAGTGCCCCGGGCACAGGCTTTGACACCCCGAGACCTGCGTCTGGGCTGTGCCCACCAGGCAGGCAGCCCTAACCCTTGACAAGCCGAGAAGCGGCGCTCACCACCGTGGGGAGAGCCTGGAGGGGCCGACAGGAGCCCG